TAACCTCAGAAATTAAATTAAAATGGGAGATAGCTACTCTTAAAAAATATATAGACGAAAAAATCACCCCAAGAGGCTTAAGATTATACAAACTACCTACTACAGATCAAGACGATGAGGAGTTCATGAATGACTGGTTTAATAAACTAGAGGTGTGCACTTTTGGTCTCATGGAAACTCTAATTATAAAAAAAAGCAAAAAACTTTCTGTATTAGATAGTGAGATAAATAAACTCAAGGACAAACTATTACCCTTTACAGAAACTCACTCTTACAAACAAAATTCAGTTTTGATTCAAAGCAAAATTGAGAAAGTGGAAACAGATACGAAACACATTAAAATAAAGAAATATGTAAGAGATAAACAAGATTACAGTAATAACCAAATAAGGACATACAACCAACACAAAAAATACACCACTGACACATCCACTATAAGAAATAAATATCAGGAACCTAACTACACCCACTACACAAATACTTACCAGCACAACAAATCACATTATCACTCTTCCCCACCATCACCATACCATCATCGCCAAGTCAATTATTATCCTCAAAATAGAAGAAGACCCTTTATTCATTCCCACAATTATCATGATAGAAAATTTTCATCACCAAATAGACAAAGGGCATCACATAACCACAAGACATCCACTTATCTCACTAAGAAATACCATAAATCACCAGATTACCAAAACTTTCCTCAATACACAACCACCAATAGACCTAACTACACCCAACCCTTAACAGCCAGACCACAGAGATCTAGGTTTGGCCATAAACACCCAGATCTCCCTAAGTCACCACCAAACTATAGCCATAACAATAGATATCAATTATTATCTATTGATTCAGAGATTGAAGAGAATTTTTTAGACATCCGCACACAGAACCTACCCCATACACAAACTCCATACTTACCCAGAACAAGGAAAAGAAGTCTAAGTATAGAGGAAGGAGAGGAGGTAGAAGATTACAAAAGAGAAAGGAAGGAGAGACCACAACAAATATAGATGAGAAAAAATTAGGCATTTTTAACCTTTCACATAAAGTTTTAACATCTACTCAGATTTTAGTTTTAAGCAAAGGTCTTAAATATGCTCCTACAAATCCATTCAAACCTTTCCAAGCATTTTTAGACATCAATAAGTTTGTGAGAAAGGCAACAATAAAAAGATTCTTTGCCCAAAATAGTAATACCTCCACAAAATTAAGTTCAGTATCACAAATTCCCGATTCTGACATAACCACTGAACATTCTACTACTCACACTCCTTTAAAAAATCCTTCCAAATTTTATCCTTCCAATTTTAAATCAGGTTCCATAGAAATCTTTGAAAAATTGGTCCTTAAAGATTTTGAAAAAATTAAACATACCAAATATGACCATCAGAACCTTACACAGAAGGAATGGAAGGCTCTAAAAGAACTCCAAAAAGACGATGAAATCGTTATCAAACCCGCCGATAAAGGTGGGGGTTTAGTCATTCAGTCCCAAGTGATGTATAGAAATGAAGCTAATCGCCAACTTAATGACCCTGAGGTATATGACAAATTACTGTATGACCCTAACTCTAAGGTCAAAGAAATTCTAAATGTATATTTAAAAAAAGGATCAGATATGGGAATTTTAAACAAACATGAATTTGACTACCTCACCATTCCTTATCCTAAAATCCCAGTGATTTACTTTCTTCCGAAAATCCACAAGAATGCAGAAAATCCCCCAGGGAGACCTATCGTATCGGGTATTAATTCTGTCCTATCCAATCTTTCTGAATATATCGATATTCTATTACAACCTTTGGTTAAACAAACTAGATCATATTTGAAAGATTCTATGACTCTTATCTTTTTTAAGTGATTTTAACTGGCACCATGACTATATATTGGTAACATGTGATGTGCAATCATTGTACACTATAATTCCTCATGATATTGGTTGCCAATCAGTGGAAAGGATTTTAAAACAAAATAGTTCTATTCCAGATTCTCAAATCGATTTTATTATACAAGGTATAAAAATTATCCTTACAAACAATTACTTTTGGTTTTTAGATTCTTTTTATATTCAAAAGAAAGGTACAGCTATGGGAACCAGGTTTGCCCCCAGCTATGCCAACCTCTTCATGGCCGATTGGGAATCTACGGCGGTCTGGGGGGATCATAGCTGGCGGGCAAACCTGGTCTCTTACTTTCGTTACATAGACGATTTATTTTTCATTTGGCAAGGCTCGGAAACTTCTCTTAAACTGTTTTTAGACTTTTTAAATGTCAATGATAGAGGCATAGTTTTATCTTCAGATTTTAGTACAACGTCAGTTAATTTTTTAGACTTAAATATTTTTATTCAAGATGGACGTATTCAAACTAAGACCTTTTTTAAAGAAGTTTGCACTAATACGATTATCGACCAAACTAGTTGCCATCATAGACCGTGGTTGGATGGTATCCCCAAAAGCCAATTCCTCCGTCTTCATCGAAATTGTTCCTTAACAGTTGATTTTAATGCCCAATCTACCTCATTGAAAAATATGTTTTTAGACAAAAATTATGAGGCAGACATGTTAAATACAGCCTTACAGACAGTTAAAACAAAACAAAGAAAGGAGCTTCTTGAATATAAAGTGAAAAAAGTAGATCCTCCTCAATTACCCATTATTTTGGATTCTAACAATAAAAATAAAACTTTAAAAAAAATTCTAAATAAACATTGGCATATCCTTAAACAAGACGACCTTTTAAAAGACTACATCCCAGAGAGACCCAATGTTGTGTTTAGAGGGGCCCCCAATTTCAGAACCATCCTCACAAAAAACTACACAAGAGAGAATGTACAACAAAATAAAACTTTTCTATCTAGACCAAAAGGTTGCTTTAAGTGTAACAAATGTATTGTGTGTAGAACAACTAAAGGAATTACAAATTCTAAAACTATCCATTTTGCTTCTAATATTACTAAAACCTCCTACACCATTAAAGAATATATAGGTTGTAATACCAAAAATGTGATATATTTATTGGAATGTCCATGCGGGCTCCAATATGTGGGCATGACTAAAAGATGCCTTAAAGTGAGACTAGCAGAACATTGCCGTAACATTAGGAGAGGTTATGAGAATCACTCAGTTTCCAAGCATTTTTTAATACATAATAAAGATCCGACACTCCTAAAAGTAACTGGTATAGAACAAGTCACTCTCCCATGGAGAGGTGGAGATATTATAAAAACTTTAGGCAAAAGAGAAATGTATTGGGTTTTTACACTTAAGACTCTTTTTCCTGAGGGCTTGAACGCTGAATTTGACCTTTTCAATTTTTTATAAAATTATTTTTATTTTTATTTTTATTTTTTATTATATATCTCACTTTTTACCCTTTATTTATTTATAAGGTTAACAATATATACCTAGCTATTTAGCTCCTAAATACACCTTTCACTTTTTTTAGTTCTATTACTCCTTTTTCTTATTCCCTCATATACTCATATTTGTTTTTATACTCATATTTGTTCTATATATTCATATTTGTTTTATTCATAATAGTTTTAATTTTGGCTGTTATGCCACTTATTTTTATTTTTTTACAAGGTGGATCACGAACGGCATTAGGCGCCGCCCCTTTTTTGTAGATGTCAGACGGAGGCGTGCCCCTAGTTGCCGGCCCCCGTCTGAACACTACACACCCCATGAGCACTCGCGGTACACACCGCCCCCACCATTGATGTCAGACGGAGGCGTGCCGTAGGCTGCCGACCTCCGTCTGAGCGGCTACACCCTATATCGATGTGTGCAATCAGTCACGTGATCGCGAAGGTCCGCGATCACGTGACCATCTATTTTTGCTTTCTCCCCTGTCACTACATTTCCCATATTGCCTCAGTGTTCACCATGTGATCGCATTAGATTGCGATCACATGATTCTTGATTCTATCTATTATTTCAACAAATAACACTCGTTTTATTATTAAATATTATGTATTACTTTACATTTTAAATTATGAATACTATGCATTTTGTATTTTTATGTATTTTTATGTTATTAATCATTTTGCTTTTTACACACTGTATGGATGACGTCATTTTGGCGCCAAAATTTGAATAAGCATGTTTTATCATAGTTTATAAAAGTATCTATGTACCAGGCTGATTTTTATTATTGCCAGTTGATAAAGCCCTGTGTGGCGAAACGCGTTTTGGCTATTTTATATATTTTTTTATTGTACTAATAAAGGAATAGTGGCTTTTTTACATCAATTTTGCCATATACCTTTTTATCTTATTTTTAAAAATTTTGTTTTAAAAATATTTCCTGTCACCTGGTCATTCACCAACTTGGAATCTACCCACGACCAAGTATCCTTGGTGGGGATTGTACCACCTATGCGAATATACTGAGCAGTTTATCCTGCTCATTCGAATGTGAGTATTTTTATTCCTTTTATTTCACTTTATTTCATTTTGATTCAGTGAGCACTATATTCTGCTTTTATCTCCTTTTTTTACCGAGGAATTACCTTCACCTATATCCTACCAGTGGGGGATAAACGCCACTGAACGCCCAACATACTAGAGCAAGTTCATGCTCTAAGATAGGTGAGTGTACTACCTACCTATTATTATTATTATTTATCACTGACAGTCTACACTATTGGATCGTCTTTGTTGCTTATATTTTCCATGTTCATCTCTGAATCAAGACTCCTCTAAAGATTAGAAGATTCAATCTCTTATTGGACTTTCTACCTCCAAATACTTACCGGAACCTGAAAGAGAAATATACCAAGTACTGTCACTATCATCCACTTATTTGAACTTTTTAAATTATATCAAGAATTTGGACTATCTTTTTTTATATATATATTTGTTATATATATTTATTAAATCCCCTTTTCTTTATACATATTATTCCTCTTTTACGTTTTAAAGTGTTTTGCCATATTTATCCCTTTTTCATTTGATATTTACGTAGCGCAACCTATTATTCTTGTTTATGTCCTGTCAATTGCATATTAAAAGAACTTAAAGCACATTTGGCATTAGCTGGTCAAAAGGTGTTACTTGATTAAACAAACACTTCCCAACAAGGTGTTATCAGGATATGCAGTGCAGGGGGGGGAATAAGAAGAAGATACAAATCAGGATCAAAGGCCAGCTGTTATAATAGAGCATCCTGACATTACTAAATCTACTGTGTAGTGTGACACAGGATATAAGGGGAAAGGTGCTCATTAATCCTTATCATTCCAATCTTTTATTCTGAAAGAATAACATATCAGTAAATTAATTAATTGTCTATTATAGCACTCAGGGAAGAAAAAAAACTTCAGAACCGTTATTTCTGAAGAAAATCTCCGGGGAGCAATGGCTATAATAAGACCGTCCCTCCCTCCTGGACGAATTAAGGTTTACATTTTGGGCTTGATATAAATTCTCTGCAGATCTAATAAAATGATTGTCTCTTTCCCATGATGAAGAAGATAAAGCCTGCTTAGAGTGAAATATATTAAAAACATTTTACTATGCCTGTTCTTTGGGATGAAATACTATTAATCAGCGCATAACCAAGTCCCATGGAAAAAAGAATAATTAGGGTGCACCGAGCACTATTGTTCATTCTGGATCAGTCTGAGGTTGAACGTTCTTTGCTTGGAATATCCAGAGTGCTTGATGGGACATCTTTTTAATCTGCTTGCATGATTCCATATCTGGTTCTCCTCGGTCAGAACGGCTTTTCTGGTGATGGCAACAACGGTTGTCAGAGGTCTGTATGGTGCATCAAAGGTTCCGGATTTGAAGAGGGATTTCACCAAGACTTGGTCTCCAGGCCTGAAAGGATGTGTGGTGGTACCTGAAGGATGAGGAAGAGATAGAGACAAATCACCATAGATGCCATTCAATGTGTCTACAAGGTTCAATACATATAACACAACATTTAGGTCTCCGCTCACCATCGGAGCACCTTTGGACTTACACCATGAAGTTGGAAAAGGTCTCCCTATTAAAATTTCAAAGGGTGAATAACCCGTAGTGGAACTAGGGGTCATTCTGATCTCAGCTAAAACTGCTGGTAAATTGTCTGGCCAATTGCGTGTGCTACCCAAGCCTCCTTTTGTCAATTTCTCCTTGATCGTTCTATTCATCTTTTCTACTTGCCTTGATGACTGAGGGTGATAGGGTATATGAAATTTCCAATCTATACTCAACATTTTACAAACCTGCTGTGTAACTGCTGAAGTGAACGAAGTTTCTTTATCACTATTAATCATAAATGGACAACCAAAACATGTCTACAATACAAATAAATACTTGAGTCCACCTTATACCATTGTCATATGCGTGTAAATTTAACATTGGACCTTCCGGTGTAGGAAGGTGGTCATGTTTACCAAACTGTGGCTTGATAGTATTAACTCTTGCACATGTTAAGCACCTGGATAAAAATATTGATAACTGTCTGATCTAACCTGTTAATTACAAATAGTTAATTTAGCATAGCCAATACCCCTCTTCGTCCGACATGTCCATAGCCATGGAACTGTCGGACGAGTAACACAGAAGAAGCTTGAGGGATTGCTATGCGGCCTTTAGGATCCCTGAGGATACCAGAATTTGCATCAGGTGTAACAAAATGTTTACTCTAGTAAGCTAAGTCATCCGAAGATGATGCAGCCTGCACAGAAAGAATATCAGTATCATCAGTATGAGTGGCTATATGCAGTTAAGACCTGGTCAAAAGAAACAGTACTGTAATCTGCCCATAAAGGAAAAGAGGCAGCTGCCCTTTTCGCCACCAAATCTGCAAAATCATTACCATCTCTGACCATGGAGTGATCTGTATCATGGCCCTTGCACTTCACAATAGCTAAAGATCTAGGTAACAGTATGGCCCTCAATAATCCATCAATTAATGCAAAATGAGAAACAGTTCGACCATTAGCTGCAACAAAGCCTCTAGCCTGCCAAATGACACCAAAATCATGAACCACTCCAAAGGCATATCTCAAATCAGTATAACTAGTCACATCTTGATCTTTAAAAGCAATACAAGCTTGTGTAAGAGCAATCAACTCCGCCTGCTTTGAGACAAAAGGTTAAGAACCTGCAGCTATTACACTATTAGGTATTTGTACAACTTCAAAACCACAAAGGAAAATAAACCAATAACTGATTTCAAAACTCTGACACAAAATCTTGCTCAGCCCAAAATACACAGAACCAACCTACATCAGTACCAGGTCTACCATGTTTAGTGTCCAAATTAAGAGCCATTTCTGTTGGTGAAATATCAGCATATTTAAAAACAACAGACAATAAAAAAACAAAAATCTGCCCCTCCAAACTGTTGATCCATTGTTACTCTTTTTAAATAATTAATAACGCCTTCTGGAAGCTTAAACAGATCAGGACACTGAGTCCCAAGAGACACCAAATGTGATCCATAGGGAGGCTTAATTATAACAGTCTCACCAGCAACTACAAAAGGATAGGCAGAAGCAGACACATGACTGGGAACTAGTACACCATGACTCTTATAACCCTCATCCACCACTTAAACACTATCAACTTGCTTATTCCCTGCACCAACATCCACAGACTTTCTAGTCACTTTCTCATTTTTTCATACCAACATCAACATTTTCTGCAGTGGATCTCACCATTGCAGAAGGATTCACAACCATCTATCCAACATGACTTTTCCCTCTACCAATCGCCATTAAAATTTCATCAGTATCAATATTCCGAAAAATCTTTTTTTTAATTCATCCAAACTGATATTTATTGGTACAACAAAAAGCACATAAGCAGGTGATGCTGCAGAAGCCTGAACATACTTTGTAGTCTGATCAGGAACAAACCATAACTGAGCACACTTTAACCATCCTGTAGCTGCATTATGCATATACTTTTTATCCCATTTTGGATCTCCACCTGATTTTTTTTAACCTTCAATACACATAACCTTTCAGAATTTGCAAATGAAAATCACTAAAAGAACCCTCTCTTGGCCATGGATTACAAATCATTGTATCACAATTCTCTGACCATGCAACTAAATCTGTACAAAATGGCTCAATAGTTTCTTGAACAAACTGGCATGGAGTTTGGCCTAATTGAGGACCCTGAGACTTGACTTTCGGAGTACGTGACACAGCACTATTAGGGACATCTTTAGATGATTTAAATTTTACAGAATTTTGTTGGGAAATTTTTTTTTTTTTTTTTTTCTTTTTACCATTACTGGAGCCCATTTCCAACTTAACACAGATAACACTTTACAATATATAACACTTTATATATAAGCAATGCACACTTTTTTTTAAACAATACAACTATACATGCAGCGCTGCAATAAACAAAAATAAGATTTATTCTACTGTGTCCAAACTGTGCATTCAATACAGTGACTAAATGTGGTCACTCAGTGGGACTGCTATACCCACTATATACAAGTTACTGACAAGATGGGACTCTAACCCAGAAAATATAAATGTTTCTCTTATACAACTTAACGTGGGACTCTAACCCAGACTTAGTATGGGACTCTAACCCAAACTTAACATGGGACTCTAACCCAAACTTAACATGGGACTCTAACCCAAACTTAATATGGGACTCTAACCCAAACTTAACATGGGACTCTAACCCAAACTTTATATGGGACTCTAACCCAAACTTTATATGGGACTCTAACCCAAACTTTATATGGGACTCTAACCCAAACTTAACGTGGGACTCTAACCCAAACTTATCATGGGACTCTAACCCGTACTTATCATGGGACTCTAACCCGTACTTATCATGGGACTCTAACCCATACTTATCATGGGACTCTAACCCATATTTATCATGGGACTCTAACCCATACTTATCATGGGACTCTAACCCATACTTATCATGGGACTCTAACCCATACTTATCATGGGACTCTAACCCATACTTATCATGGGACTCTAACCCATATTTATCATGGGACTCTAACCCATACTTATAACAAAAACAAAAAGAAAGGCAAAACAAAAACAAGAAAACATTACTTTTCTGCAACCACAAAATTTTGTTCAGAGAATCCAAACAGGGCAAAGAACACAAAAATAAAACACAAAATGTTCTTACCCGATTTGGATTCTCTCTCCACTTCTGACACCATATTGTTGTGGTTTAAATTCAGCAGACAGCAATGTTTTCTCTCAGGTCTGAAGACAAGGAATGGACACAGCAGAAATACGAGCTCGGAGGGCAGTACTCATTCACACAAGTGTATGGCAGAATACTACACCTAATTTTAATGGGGAGAACACAGATCTTATAACAAAATTCTATACACATCCAAAAGGGGTTGTCTTCACATAATACAGTCATGTCCTGTCAATTGCATATTAAAAGAACTTAAAGCACATTTGGCATTAGCTGGTCAAAAGGTGTTACTTGATTAAACAAACACTTCCCAACAAGGTGTTATCAGGATATGCAGTGCAGGGGGGGGAATAAGAAGAAGATACAAATCAGGATCAAAGGCCAGCTGTTATAATAGAGCATCCTGACATTACTAAATCTACTGTGTAGTGTGACACAGGATATAAGGGGAAAGGTGCTCATTAATCCTTATCAAGCATGATCAAACCTATTTGTAGCTTTATTGTCTTTACAATCCCCTTTCTTAGGATTATCCTGAAGCAAATTGACTCTATTTTCGAAACCCTTTTTAGTTCTTTCTCTAAAAAGGGTTTCGAAAATAAATAGAGGCAATTTAAATAAAAAAGAGAGAAAATCTGGGCGCTAAAGTAATAC